TTGGAGACTGGCTCTACCCACCTAGATCCCAGTAGCCACCTCTGCAAAACAGGAATGCCTCTCATAATTTAAAGCTCCAAAGGCCTGCTTTCAGTTCACCTTGAAAAAGGACATTCCTCAGCTGGGCATGGGCTCAGAGGATGGGGACCCCAGAATCAAGGTCATTGCTAGCCATGGGAGGAGTCCTCACTCCCAGGTCCCCACCCTGAGACCTGTTTCCATATAATTGCAGGGCCTGCTGTGAACCCCTCAGAGCAGACTCAAACCTCCACCGCCCCACTCTCTAGCTGTGCGGCCTTGGACAATTCCACCTCACTAAATCTGTTTCTTCATTTACAAAATGGCAATGATGACCATAGTTGCCTCCCAGACTTAGAAAGACAAGTGAGGGGCTAGGGCTGTGGCTCAGTGGTAGAGAACTTGCCTCGAACATGGGAGGCACTGGTTCGATTTTCAGCACCACATAAAAATAAATAAAGATACCGTGTCCATCTACAACTAAAAAAAAAATTTTAAAAAGAAAGATTAAGGGCTGGGGATATAGCTCAGTTGGTAAAGTGCTTGCCTTGCATGCACTGAGCGTGGGGCACAAACCTCTAGTTCCTGGGCTGGGGTTGTGGCTCAGCGGTAGAGTGCTCGCCTAGCACATGCGAGGCCCTGGGTTTGGTCCTCAGTACCACATAAAAATAAATAAACAAAATAAAGGTATTGTGTACAACTAAAAAATAAATATTTTAAAAAAAAATTCTAGTTCCCACTACTCAGGAAGCTGAAGCAGGAGGATCACTTGAGCCCAGGAGTTCAAGGCCAGCCTGGGCAACATAGAGAGATCATAACTTAAAAAAAAAAAAAAAGTGCACTTAGCATTTTGCAGGAGGCCCAGGAAGTATTTAGTAAATATTATTTATTATCATCATCATTCTCAAAATGCTCTCTCCGAGCCTCAGTTCCCCCAGCCTAACCAGGAATTATAAGAGTACTTGTCTCAATGAAGGTGAGATTTCAATGAGTTGGAAACTGTAGTACAGTCTTAGGCACACAGCAGGTACTCAATAAAAAGATGCTGGGAGCCATTAGCCAAGTAGGTATGACAATTTCCTTGCCAGCGTACCCCATGTTGCTGACATGTTGCAGTGACATTGAATGTAGGTGACCTTGCTCAAGGACCAAGGCGGATTAGGGTGTTCCCAGTTTAAGATAATCGTGTTTAGGGCGTTCCCAGTTTAGGTTCCAGGTTTAAGGTTTAAGATTATTCCTGCTGGGAATAGGGCGTATCCTGCTGCCTGAGTTCCCCTTGAGTTCTCACGGGATTCAGACAGTATATTTTGGAGATGGAAGCCCAGTGGAGGTGGATTTGGGAAGAGAACGTGGATTTCCCCAGAACGTGGATTTCCCCAGAACGTGATTGTAGACGGCTGGTGTGAGTTCGGGAATAAAGAGTTGCTGTTTGAATCTACAAGCTGTGTGGTGGCTCGTGATTGTGTGCCCAGCCAGACTGCGGCATTTGTGCCCAGCCAGACTGCGGCAAAAAATGGTGGTTGTGGGCTGGGATTGTGACTCAGCGGTGGAGCGCTCGTCTAGCACGGGCGGGACCTGGGTTCGGTTCTCAGCACCACATAAAAATAAAGGCATTGTGTTGTGTCCATCTACACCTAAAAAATAAATTTTAAAAATGGGGGTTGTATTTATTATGATGGTTATTATTCACCATAGTCATTATTCCAAACAAAAATGTATTGTGCACCTCATGAGCACAAGGCATGTGAGCCCTGAGGCTGAACAAAAGTCGGCTCTCTAGAAGGACTTGGCAATGAACAATGGTAGCCCTATCCTCATGGGAAATGGACAGTCCAAATACACACAAGTTAGCTGAAGGAAGAGCAAATGTCTGTGGGTCTTCCCATTTGTGCATGTGTAAGTGTGTGTGTGTGTGTATATGGTGTTAATGTGTGCATGGGTGCATCAGGGTGTCTGTGCAGGTGCATGTTTGTGTGTCTGGGTGTCCAAGTATGTACTTATGTATAATATGCATGAGCATGTATGTACATGTGTACTATAAGTGAGATGTTGTAACCTATGTATACATGAATTGCATATGGGGACCCTGGCATGTTCACACCAGGGCCAGTGTGAACCTGGGTGAGTGTGCCTGAGCATGGGTAGATGTGCAGGCACTTGTGAGAAGAGCAGGATCCAGAACTAAGCTGGTGCCTTCTGCTGCCTATAATCCAAGAAGTATCATTGAAAGGTGATCCCAGTCATCCATCAGTTTCAATTAGACAGCTACCTGTATCCCAAGTGCAACATGAATGTACTTTTGCCCAACAGATGTTCCCATCACCAGGATCCTCCCTGGTGCAAAGCCCTGGTTTTCAGAAAGTCCTTCCTGCATTCTGCCCATAATCTTTGGGTGACACTTCAGAAACTAGCAGTCCCCAAGACCCTGAATGAACATCAGCCCTTTGTTCCAGACACACATTGTCTTACTCAGCTCCCCAACGTACTTTTCCAAGGGAGGGAAGGGGGAACCGCATTTCCATTCTTATTCCTGTCCCTTAAATGCTCTCAACATCAATACTCCTACTCCCACCATCCCAGACCCTGATTCTTGACATGGGTCTAGCCCTCAAGGACGAACCCAGTAGGCCTCTACACCTCCAAGTTGAAACCATCGGGAGCAACACTTACACCAAGGGTGAAAAAGACCTAGGCTTTAGGGCTTGGAATGGGCAAGTGGAGACCCACAGAGGAGATGCCCCCAGAAGACTGACTGACTCCTACCCCACACTCACTCTCCTCTGCCCATGATCTAGTGGGCTCCTAAAGAATAAAACTTCTTAGAGAACCAGAAACAGTTGGGCCAGACTTTCCTCTGCTCTACAAACTAGTTTCTAAACCACAGACTTTAGTTCAAATTCTGATTCTAATACTGATAACTATGGTAACAATGCTGACATTTATCAAACAGTCGTTAAGTATCTCAATCTGCACTCTTCACTTTGCAGGAACAGTGACAATGAAGTCACACATGGCTTCTGTAGGGTTAGGGACCATCAGTGTTAACCATATTTACAATCAAGGAAGCTAAGGCACCGGCAACATAGGTCATGTGCCCTCTAGGATGCAGCTGATTGGTGGCAGAGCATTTTGGGGATAAGAATTAGACACCCAAGGGGCTGTGGCTCAATGGTAGAGTGCTCGCCTGGCACACATGAGGCCCTGGGTTTGATCCTCAGCAACACATAAAAATAAAATAAAGGTATTTTTAAAAAAAGGAATTCAGAATCTATTTAAAAAAAAAAAGAATTAAGAATTAGACACCCAAATTGAATTCAAGCATGTTGCTCCCAAGTTCAGAGTCTATGCTTCTTTTGTTTGTTTGGTAAAGGGGATTGAACCCAGGGTCACTTTACAATGAGCTACATCCCCAGTCTTTTTTTTATTTTGAGACGGTCTCATTAAGTTGCTCAGGGTCTAAAGATGCCAAGGCTGACCTCAAACTTGCAACCCTTCTGCCTCAGAGTCCATATCACTAGAATTTATAGGTATGCACCACCACACCTAGCCAGAATCCACACTCTTAGCCACAGAAAATCTCCCTTAGGCAGAGACCTAGATAGTTTCTTCTCTCTCAATCTCCCAGTCTGTGCAGTGATGGCTAGATCCCATGACCTTTGATTTCTGGGGAGCTTCCAGCATGCCTCTCAGAGTGAAGACCAGGGCCACCTCTCAGGTCTGTGAAGCATGCAGATAACAGTACCATCAGACACACACACAGCCCTCCTCCCCACATCTGTATGCTCACAGTGGTCTGAACATTCTTGGGGATTTTCTCTGACAGAGAAGGAGATAAATGTGGAACCCCCTACAATGCACTCCTGGGGAAACTTCAGGTCATAAGGATGGGGATGCTCTGAGGCCTGGCTACCACTCACTCCTTCCTCACCAAATGGGCAATACTAATGGAGAGAAGATCCATGAATTCTAGAGGTGTTCCCAATTAGACGGGTGGGGAAGAGGAAGAAATGAGTTCTCCTCCCCTCCCAATCATCTCCCCCAGCTATCCCTGAGCCAAAAAGGCACAAGGGACAGACTCCCAGCCTCTCCAGGCCAAACTTGAGTGAGGTGGGAGCGACCTGCATAGCTTGAGGGGAGGGGGACAGAGGCAGGCTGGACCAGCAAGAAGGTAGGAGCCCCTCAGACAAAGGCTGACCCCAGCCAGGCCGGCTGGCCAGCCAGCCCACCTCCTCCCCCCTGCGGCAGGCAGCTTGGCAGGGCTGAGCGCCAGCTCCTCGCTCCAAACCGAGTTCCCGCGGAGCGTGCTTAATGCAGCGGCGGTGACATTTCTGCCGTCAGAGGCAAAAACAGGAACCCGGCCATTTTGATGAAGGACGCCCAGAGCGCTGGCGGGAGACAAGGGGGGGGGGGTCAGTTCCGACTCCTGCACCCGTTTCCCTAACTGCCAACCCCGCCCTGGCGCAGAGCCCAAGCCACAAGGTCACAAAACCAGGGCCGCCAGACACACAGGGGAGGGAACTGCTTCAGAAGTACCCCCCGACTCTCTTGTACAGGTGGGGAAACTGAGGCCATCCTGCGGGCTCTAGTCAGATCTGGGAAAGGTAAAAAGAGGTACTGAGAAAGCCCCGGGAAGGATGCCTTGAGGAATGTCCGGGTGGGAACGCCAGCCAGTGGAGCCAGAGAGCAGATCCAGCAGGCAGCAATAACCCTTTCCGAAGTAGTCAGCACACCTGGCCTCCGCCCCGGCGCGCCCTCAGGAGGGCGCTTGCGCCGTCTCGAACCTCCAAGCAACGAGAGGGTTAAGCTTCCTCGCGGTACTTGCCGCAGTAAGTGGAAAGGAAAGAAGTGTCAACTCTGTTCTCACCACAGCGGGGCTGTCGGATGGCACCTCCCCCCGCCCTGCGCACCCCGCCCGGCCGGCTCCCCCGCCCTCCCCTCGGAGCGCGCGCGCATACACCTCCCACCGCTTTGCCCAAATTATTTTCGATCCCGGGAGACTCCGGATGCCAGACGCGCTCGGCGGCGGCGGCGGCGACCGCGCCTGATTCATTGCGCCAAAGCTGCAGATGCGACCTCCCGCCTGCGCCCGGTGCCCCGGCCCGCGCCGGGCCGCGCGCGCGCCTGGAGAGATGGGGCTGCGGGGTGGGGGGGGACCGCGCAATTTGTAGGCGCTTTCCTCTCCCCACAAAAGGCGGGCCCTGGCCCCCCGGGGCCAGGTCCCCTGTCTCCAGCTCCCCGGGCTGCGCTAATTAGCTTTCTCCGGGGGCGCCACGCGGCGTGAGGGGCGGCAATTTCCCGGCTGGGCTGCGGGGGAAGCACTCCTGCCGCCTGGGAAGGTGAAATGGGAAACTCGATTCAAAGAGAGCGTTCCTCCCCCCCCCTCCCGCCAAGCTCCGTAGAAAACGGGTTTGAAATTCCTCCTCCTTTTTTTTTTTTTTTTTTATTTATAGTGCACGGTCTCCATGGCAACCGCGGAGGAGGTCACGGTAGCTGGGCCCCCGCGCGTCACCCCGCGCCTCGCCGGCTGCAGGCGCCCGGATTGCGGCCTCCCAGGCGCCGTGGCCCGCGTGGACCCAGCTCTGAGTTCTCCGCCCCCGCTCCGCCCTGCCAGAGACTCAGGCCCCATACCATATGACTCTGCCGGGTCCCAGCCGGGAATATCGCACCTGGGCACCAGTGCGCTAAGCTATGCCTCTGTCCCCGGGCTCTGGCACGCGGGACTGCGCCTCGAAACACGTGTCCAACCCCGGGATGGGAACATGTGCGGCAAGACGCCACTGAGGGCCTCAGCACTTGTGGATGCCCTAGGGAATCGACCTGGATTGGCGCACCACTCTGGAGCTCTTGCCAAGACGGCACCACCCGTGGCTAAGAAGGCTGACTGTGGTGTCAGAACCGAACGTTCCTAATGATTTACTAGCTGTGTGACTTTAAGCAAGTTACAACCTTTCTGCGTCTCAGTTTGTTCATCAGAGAAATGGAATTGTTGTGAGACTAAAAAGTCCGTTTAACGCTTAACATCGTTTTTGGCAAGTGGTTCTTAAAAACTGTGGTTGAGGTTATTTTTTCCTGGCTGAGAAAGGAAAGCCCTACAGGCTTTGATTAAGGGCTCACACGCAGAGGCTGCGAGTTAGGCCTCGAGAGTTCCCAGTTCCTTTGCCTAGGCACACACGACAGGTGAGGGCTGCACTGGGCCTGGGCCCGCCTGAGGCGCAGCACGCAGGGCTGGAGGCTTCAGAGCTGGCCACATCCGCACCCGGAACCCTGGAAACGCTGCCCCCCGCGGAGTCCTCCTCCCGCCCCCTCGTTCCAGCCCCATTAGCAACAGGCCTGCCTGCCCTCCCTCCCAGGACTGAGGCCGCACCTGCCCCACCGGATGGCGGCCCGGGGGCCGGACCGTGCCCCCCACCGTGCACATTTCCTCCCGGACCCCCAGCGCCCCGTCGAGTACGCTGGGGGAGGGGACCGGGCCGCCCCCGCCCCACCAGCTTCCCACAGCCCGAGCTGCCCGGAGCCGGGGAGGCAGGAAGTCTCAGAGCCGGGGCGTGGAGGCGGGGTGGGGGCAGGAAGTTGGGGGTGACTCTCCCAGAGACCCCAGACGGGGCCTCGGCGTGGGAGCAGGGTGGGCGGTGCATAGGGATTAAGGGCGCCCACCTCCTCTGCAGCCTTAGGCCGTGTGACCCTGGCTGGAGCGCCCTGCAGAGTGAGGGCGAAGGCTGCTACCTCTGGCGACCCCCAGCAGCGCGCACGAGGAGGGAGGGGCCGCCTTTGTCTACTTTGCCGCAGAGGCAGCCCCCCACAACCCCTCCCCCCGCGCCCCGCCGGGCCCTGCACAGCCCGGGTTTTCCATCCGGCCCGGCTCGGCTCGGCAGCTGTCAGGGGACCGAGCTGACCTTCGCGAGCAGGGAGTTTCAATTAGCCGCAGATCAGATAAGCGGGCGGGCCCGTCTCTCTGGGCACCGCGGGGGCGCAGCTCCGCCCCCGCCACGCCGCGCCAAACGCGCTCCAGATGGGAACAAAGATGAGGACGCAGCTCCACCTGCCTCCCCAGGGAGGGGGGAGAGGAGGCCCCTCTGGGAGTTGCTTCCCACCCGAGGAAGGGGTCTCACGCTCTGCCCTGTGGGCCTGGGATCCCGTGCTCAGGCAGGGGCATGGCTAAGATGATCTTTATGGCTCTGCTTGCCTCCTGCAGTGACCTCATCCCCAGTTGGGCATCATGCCCTCCCTCCCCCAGAGGGAACGTTTTGCCATCTCTGATCTCATCCAGAGCTTCTCTGGGAAGCAAGGAGGAGCAAAGGCCAACAAAAAGGAAACTGAGGCAGAGGGAGATTGGGACCTCTTGATTTCGGACATACCAAGCACACATTGTTTCAGATATTTATTGAGGGCCTACTAAGTGCCAGGCCTTATGTAAACTATGGGGACACCAGAGAACAAATAATCTTGTTCTCAGCCTCACAGAAGTTACTTTCTAGCTCAGGGAGGCAGCCCACAGTTAAGTAAACAAATAGTTGAACAAGATCACTGTAGAGAGTCTAAGGAGCCAGGAAGACAGTAAAATAGGTCATGTGAGACTGAATTCAGGGATGGAACCATATTAGCTGTTGTAATCAGGGAAAGCCTCTCTGAGGAGGTGACATCTGAGCCAAGACCAGGAAGAACCAGCTAAGCAAAGAAGGAGTAGAGCAAGGAGATGAGGAGCAGCACAGCTAAAGTAAGGTCTCCAAGACAATAGTTCCTACCTTGTTGAAGGTAGGGAAAGGCCTTTGTGGGCATGACCATAGACCCAAAGGGAATTCAGATAGGGGAGGGCCTTGCAGGCCACATGAAAGGTCATGATTTGTGCAAACTACAACAGGAAACTTTGGAAGGAGAAGGGTGAAGCTGGACGTAATAAGGTCTGACTTAAATTTTTTTAAAGACCTTTCTGGCTACCATGCAGACCAGAGGAAGGCAAAAGTGGGGAGACGGAGGGGACTGTGTGGACTGGGTGGAGAGGCAAAAGGAGGTGGAGGAGAGATCTGGCTTAGTAATATATTTTGGCAGGTAATATACTTTGGCAGGTAAATTGGAGGAATGGGTGAGGTGGTGAGGTACAGTGACAAGCCTGATGGTGCAAAGAGCAGGGTTTGAACCCAGACTTCCCTTTGGGATATGGAGAAGCTGCTTGGAGGCTAAGGGTAAAGCTAAGGAGCAAGAATGCCAGGGTTCAAATACTGGTGCTGATATTCACTAGCTGAGTATCCTTGGGCAAGCATCTCAATCAGTTTCCTTAAGCATTTAAAATGAAAAGGAGTTGGATGACCACGGAGATTGGCCTGTGAAGTTTGAACATGAGATAATTTGAAGTGTTTGGCACAGACCGTGGGTTATAGATGGGCCAGTGATCTATATACACAGAAGGTTGAGGAAGGATGGTCAAAAGTTTGAAACCAGCCTGGCAAGGTGGTGCATGCCTATAATCACGAGCCTCTGGGGGCTTGAGGCAGGATGATTGAAAGATTGAACCCAATCTAAGCAACTAAGACCCTTTCTCTAAGTAAAATATAAAAAGGGGCTGGGGGGCAGGGTATGGTGGCACAAGCCTATAATCCCAGAGGCTGGAGACAGAAGGACCACAAGTTCAAAGCCAGCCTCAGCAACTTAGCAAGGCACTAAGCAACTCAGTGAGACCCTGACTCTAAATAAAATACAAAATGGGGCTGGGGATGTGGCTCAGTGGTTAAGCACCCCTGGGTTCAATTTTTTTTTTCAAAAAAAAAAAAATTGAAACCAGCTTAGGCAAGATAGTGAGACCCTTTCTCAATATTTACATATAGCTGGGCCTGACACACACCTGTAATCCCAGTGGCTTAGGAGGCTGAGGCAGGAGGATTACAAAACCAGTTCAAAACCAGCCTCAGCAACTTAGCGAGACACTAGGCAACTCAGTAAGACCCTGTCTCTAAATATTTTTTTTTTGTAGTTGGACACAATACCTTTATTTTATTTATTCATTTTTATGTGGTGCTAAGGATCGAACCCAGGGCTTTGCAACATGCCAGGCAAGCACTCTGCCGCTGAGCCACAACCTCAGCCCCAAGAGACCCTGTCTCTAAATAAAATACAAAAAAGGGCTGGCTCAGTGGTCCAGTGCCCCTGAGTTTAATCCCCAGTATCCCCCCTCAAAATTTATATATATATATATATATATATATATATATATATGTAATTTTTAATTAAAATTTTTATTGATGGGGGATTAAACGCAAGATCTTGCCAAGCAGTGCTGTACCACTGAGCTACATCCCAGGCCCAAAATTTAAAAAATTTAAAAGAGCTGGGCATGTATCTCAGTGGCAGAGCACTTGCCTAGCAAGTGCAAGGTCCTGGGTTCAATCCCCAGTATGGCAATAAGTAAATAGATAACAAAAGAATAGATACTCACCAATGTTGCCTATTATTGTGGGTGTTGCTGCTATTCCACCTACCTCCACACACATGCTTCTCTGCACCAGAACTTTCCCCAACACACTGCCTGACCTTTCCACCCCACCTTTGGCCCTGTTTTCATTTGCAGAGAGCAGAAACTCCTCCCATTAACCCCCCACCTTTGTTTGGAGGGCAGTTTGGGGGATGGGAGTCATTGGGAAGGAACCCACCCAGTCCACCTAGTTAGTTCACTGAGCTGTCTGAGATGGGATTCTCCAAGAGTTACTCAGTGATCTCCATGGGAGCGCTCCCTCCCCAACTGTCAGAAAAGGTAAGAGCATTTAGTTATCATTCATCTAGTCAGTTGAGATACCTTCCCTCAAGCAGCACTGTAGTAGGGGAAGAAAGAAGAAAACCCAGGCTATTCCCTTAGGTTCATGCCTGGTCCTTTCAATTACACCTGATATAGCCATGTATTTTGTTCTCTGGGTCCTCCTAGCCAGTCACAAGAGGTTGGAGGGGTGGGGGCAACCTTGGGAAAGCAGTTACTGCCATTACAGTTGCCATTTGTGGAGTTTGTACCTAGAGCCAGGCACCTTGCACTGGTCTATCCATGCTGTACCTGTTATTGAGTTCTTTAACCATCCCATGAGAGAAGTACAATTATTGTTCTTAATTTATGAACAAATAAACAGAAACTTCTGGGGGCAAGGGCCTTGCCCAAGGTCACACAGCAATCAAGTAGTGGCGCTGGGTTTGGCTGAGGCCAGGACAGGAGAACTCAACCGTTCTGTGATATGGTCGTATGTGTTATTTAATACCCAGATGCCTCTGAAAGATCCTCAAGCAAAGCCCTGTGGAGATGGATCTGCCCTTCTTGCCTCAACTTCTCTGTGTGCCTGAATCCTCAAAAACAGGGTTTTCATCTGAATCCTCAGGAGCCCCACCTGGAGCCAGGTACTCAGTAGGTACGGTTTGAATGTGGCATTCTCTCTACAAACAGCCATGATGCCTACTCTTACCTCCATACCTCCCCTTGGGTACCAGACCCCACTACGGCCCATTTCAGAGCACCTTGGAGTTGTTGACTAGAAAAGAAAGTTCTACTTTGCATAATATTTGCATCTGCTTTGCATGCTGTGCACATAACATCAAAATGCACAGAGGCCCAGCACCCTATCTTATACCCTATCCTTGTCTTGGCCTCACCACCCACCCACCCAGAGCAGGGGTGGGGATTCTTGCAACTAGTCTAAGCTTGTCTACTTCCAGTGTTGTGGGGGAGAGAAATGAGAAGGCTCCTGCCTGCCTTCATCTCTGTCCCTCCTTCCTCTCCATCCATCCTTGCCTGGGGGGCCTAGTGGGTCAAGCAGAAGAGCCAATAAACAGATGCCAGTGTGCACACACTTAAGACTACCTCTTATTCTTTTTCCTTAACCTTCATTGTGGGGCGGCAAGTACTCAGACCCCAGACATTTTCTTGTGCACTACTGTGTTTGTGTGTGTGCATTATTTCAAGTGTGCACACTGGTCTCTGTTTACTGGCTCTTCTGGCTGACCCGCTAGGCCCCCCAGGTAGGGATAGATAGAGAGGAAGGAGGGACAGA